TATATTCTTGCCGACTTAATTTTTCAAGTCGGTCCCTCTGCCTTTTAAGTATGTTTTGCTTTTGCTTTACTTTTTGTCATGAATGATATTGCATTGATTTTCTGATCATCCATTAAGTGTTAAGACACAATCATATCCTCCAGAATTAATCCCAAAATCCAATGTGTGTATCACGGGACCCTGCACAATAATGTTTAATAACAAGCGCTACATAGGACAACCTGATGCCAAGGAAGACTACTTACGATTATAGTTGTATGCTATAGCAATTCTGAAAAATAAAATATGGAAAGATCATAAGCACCTTCCAGATGCCATCTAAGCTCAGCAAAAATGTTACCTTCATTGTCATCACAGCGGTTACTTTTTTTTTTTGTATTTTTATTCTTCCCAGTTGATTAAAAACACGTCCACTATATTTTTTATTTGTATTTTTATTCTTCTCAGTTACCTTCATTTTTTTTGTATTTTTGCATCCACTGGATTAGGAAAAACGCGTCCTTCTAAATTTTGATTATGTTCAGCAGTGATGCCAAAGACCTAACGATATCTACATGAAAAAAAAAATTCAAGGGATATAATTATATATCATAAGAGATATCAGGAAACTAACTACATAAAGAAAATAATCCTGACTCATATTTCGGCGCTCTACCTGACTCAAGACGGTGATTTTTTCAAAAAATCTAGTTTCTCCTGGTATTTGAAAAATTCTGAATTCTAACTGAACTTAACCCAAAATAATAAATTAAAAATTATAGAGGTTGCCACATTAAAAGACAATGTTGAATTGGATATTAAAAGATGGTTTAAACATAGTAGTGAATACGAACCAAAATCTTTGAAAAATAATTTTGTATCCAAAAAATAAAAAAAAAACTACAAGAACAAACTCATTTTCCAAAAAAAAAAAAAAAAAGAAGCTTATAAGAACATACGCCCTTTTCCAAATTTAATAATTTATCTACATTATGAACATATTATAAACTAATATATTCTTTTTTATTTAATATTAAAAATTGATTTTAAATGTACAAGTGATAGTAGAGGGAATGAAACAGTTAACGACATGTGAAAAAATCGAAAAGGATGAGAGCAATTAGAGGAATAATTTCGCACAAAATTCGTGGGTTAAAATGCAATTTGAGGTATAGATGGGAGGCATTTTAGTGCATTTATTGGTTTGTTTTCAACAAGTGGTGGTTGATTTTGCGGGATTTGGGGAGTCTACATGTATCAAAATATATTTATATAGGGATTATTTCATTAATTATGGGTGCTAGTAACAATTCTATTGGTGCGTAATTTCATTTGATTACAACACAATTGTATTAAATTTTATTGATGCTACTTCTATATTAACTATTGTATTTTTTTTGTTAACAATTCTCATACAATGTATCAATTACTACACATAAAATAAATACAAAAATTATTTATTTTTTATTTAATATATATATATTTTTTCTAGATCAAAGAAATGAAATACTGCCTCTCTTCAAGTTCGACAGCCATCCGCATCACCAATACTTTTGCGTGATCATAGTAAATATACAGTTTCTTATATCGTCAAACTCATCATACATTTACACTTTTTGGCTGCCCTATCTTGCTAAATCAACTTTTTATATGGCATAATACTAGATGGAATACATAATGAGTCAGCAATTTTTGAAGCTTCCTTCACACCAACGTCGCTATGTAACGGTCATGACGATGGTAAGATCTAGCATTCTCGCTTATTTTAAACACATAATTAACCATTACCATTGCATTTCCAACTTTATTAACGTAGCTTATACTTCTTCTTTTTAAATTTTGTTGGTTTAATTTTTTCATTTTTATTTGTTTATTATTTTATTTTTTTTAATAATATCAAAACCGTGCGTAGCACGGGTATTTACACTAATATTAATATATTTACAACGGAAGTCGTGTGCGATTACGCGGCATGAAGACGAATCAAAATTTAAGGGTATCCGATTCGGCTGACTTCTCCAATTTACCTGCGCAGAATTTTTTATTTAGCAAATTTTTTTCCTTCTCCCTCTTCGTCTTTCTCTCAGTCTATAAATACCCCACCGATTTGACAATTCAAGGTATACCCGTCTATCCCACGTATCCTACTTCTATCTCTCGGCATTTGATAATTTTAATTCAGTCATCAGCAATCATGTCTCAGGTACTCCCTCTTCTTCTTCTTCTTCTTCTTCTTTCCCTCCGATTTCTTGTTTGGTAGCATTCATGATTAGTTTTGTAAATTCAGGTGGAATCAGGTTGCGAAGCATAATCTCATAGTTTAGCTAAAAGTTTCCCGTTAGTTGCCCTACCCGAAATTTCTCGAATTAGAACTGATTTGGGTGCCCTAAGATTTAATCGGGGTAATTTGCTTAGTTGAAATTAGGCTATTTTCCGTGTTCTTGTAAGATAATGTGGTTACTCATCTGTTCTTGAATATTTATGCATGTAAAAGTGCCTTTTTTTTTTTAAATGTAATACAACGCTTTATCACCGCTATCATTTGGTTCTAGCGAAGCATCGAGCAGGCAATTTGCAGTAAAATTAGATGATCAATTTATGTTTTGACGAGCAAGTTCAGTAACTTTGTGTTTATTCTTCAGTGATTGGATGCTTAATTGCACTGGTCAAGAAAAAAAAGGGAAATTATTATTTCCAAACACTCTATCTGGAAGTTCCGGTTGAATTAAGCATTTCTTTTAGCTAATTTATTTGCTGAAATCTGCATTTTCCAGACGATACTTTGGATTCGACGATACTGTGGAAGTAGCATGGGAATATAAGCAATGTTTTACTCGACTTGTAATTCTGACCTTAATATTTCTCATTTTCCATGTTTGCAGACTGTTGTCCTCAAGGTTGGCATGTCATGCCAAGGCTGTGTTGGAGCTGTGAATCGGGTGTTAAGCAAAATGGAAGGTTTGTCAACTTGCCTATTCTTCTACTATCCTTCATTTGATTGTTTGTCATTGACACCACTGACTTTGAAACTATCAATGAGGAAAATCTGTGCCCCCTGACCATGTTGATTATGCTCTTCGGATGTGCAATATAGCCTTTTGCTGTAATATCTTGTCAGAAGTGTGCAAAATCTGGTGGCCACCTAGAGAAATTGGTTAGTTGAGTTGGTGCTTGATTTTACAAATGATTTCTCAACTGTCAAATAAGCCTGTCCCAGAACTTTCATGTTCTTGTAAAGTAATAGAAATGAAGGTTTGTTGATTGATTAGTCGTTCAGTGCTTATTTCAGACTGCATGGTAGCCGGCTTAATAATTCCTGACTTTGCACCAGGCCATAGTTTCAAGTGCTATTTTGATCAAAAGAAACTAGTGATATTTGCATTCAGCACTTGGCTGTTTCTTTGTTAATTGCCAAAAAAAAAAAAGATAGAAGCTTGCCAATATAGAGCTGAGAATTTAAATACCATTCATATAGCAAGTGATTCGACTATATCAGACTCGTAAACGACTGCAGACTCTGCAGTATTCTATTATTTTTATCAACTGATCACATGTTGAACATTGTTCCATATATAATATTTGACGGTCTTTACTTCTTATAAAGATGGAGTGGTCTTTACATGTTGAACATTGGTTTACGTATAATATTTGACTTGTGCTTCGTGGTAATACTTTCAGGCGTGGAATCATTTGACATTGATCTCAAGGAGCAGAAAGTGACAGTAAAGGGTAATGTACAGCCTGAGGCAGTCCTTCAGACTGTTTCAAAGACCGGGAAGAAGACTTCTTTCTGGGAAGAAGGAGCATCAGCTGCACCTGAATCGAAGCCCGCAGAAACTGTTGCAGAAACCGAATCAAAGCCCGCAGAAACTGTTGCAGAAACTGAATCGAAGCCCGCAGAAACTGTTGCAGCTGCATAATTTGGGTCACTAGTGGCCAGAAAGCTGTTGCTTTCACTTATTATGTTACTCTTAAGGAGCTAAAATGTATGTTACGGGTCAACAATAATAAACATGTACAATACCTCGGTGTGTGGTGTTCAGTATTCGCTAATTAACTGTAAGCTCCATTTATCTTTTATTTGAGATGCTCCGTGCAACAGAAACTAGAAAGTGTTTTGGCTGTCTAAATTTATCAAGGTGCTGATATTCATGTTGTAACTAAGTTGTTCATTTGATTTTGTGGTATACTTCCAACATCAGTAAATCAGGAACCAAGGGATACGAAGAGTGTCAAGGTCATGCGAAACCATGAATTTCATGTAATGGTTCTTCTGGATAGATTGGCTAAAAAAAAGTTGTCGCTAGCCATTCCCAACCATAAAAAGCCATGCAGGACCTTGATATTTGGATTGGTTTTTTCCTCAGCCACCATTAGTTGTTTCAATTTTGAGTCACTTGATTATGGGGCCGTAGGTAGGATATAATCGAGGACTTGGCTGGTAGTCTTCAAAAAATCAAGAACCCATATGGAAGATATTTGCTGCCCATCATTATTATCTATGGATTTGGTCATCTGCTCGCTTATCATTAAATCCGTCAGTATCGTCCTAGGCCATGACCTTGTGCGTTAGCTATAATATCAATGATTTAACATGCATGGGGTGATGGTGCTTTGCAAATGCATTTCTGATTTATTTATATATCTCCAAAAAAAAAAAAAAAAAGGTTTCGGAAGCGTAGCCATTGCAAACTTAAAACTGGAAAATCAGAAAACGGAGATAAATTTGCCGCCTTGAGCTTGGCATCTATAGACACGGCTAACTAACGTATTGTTTTGGCAAGGAAAAGACAAGCTTCCAGCCTCGTATGGCTTTTTTTTTTTCCTTTTCTTTTCTTTAATTTGATTACTTTTTCTCCACGCTTTCACGTACGTGCAGTTTTCAGCTACCATAAGAGATACTAATATGTCTAATTGCTTGCAACAATCCACTGTTTAGAGAAGAAAACAGAAAAAGGAAGTAGTTGTAAGGAAAAGAAAGATGCCCATTAATTCCATAACAGAACACCACAATAACCATCATGCAGTCCTTTGCTTCCCTCTTGCAGAATTGCGCCAAGCACAAGTCCATTTTCAGCGGCAAAGCAGTTCATGCTCAGCTAATCAGGTCCGGATTTATCCCAGATGTTTATACAAACAATCATATGCCCTCGTTGTACCTACAGTTGGGGCAGATGGGCTATGCTCAAACCGTGTTCGACATAATGCCAAAACGAAACGTTATCACTTGGACGACGTTGATTTGCTCGTTTTCTCAGATGGATCTCTCGGAAAAAGCCTTAAGTTGCCTTAGGTCAATGGTTCTTGAAGGGTTTTTGCCGAACGAGCATACTTATGTTGGTGCTATATCTGCTTGTGTTAATACAAGGGCTGTTAGTATTGGGAAGGAAATTCACGGGAGGATATATAGGACTCAGGATAGTTTGAATAGCTTTGTCAGTAATTCTTTGGTTAATTTTTACGGCAAATGTGAGTTGTTGAAGTCGCCTAGGCTTGCATTTGCTGCTATCTTGGAGCCTAATTTGGTTGCCTGGGCTTCACTCATATCTTGTTGTTTTCAGTGTGGACAGAACGAGGAAGGTTTGAAATTGTTCTTAAGGTCCTTGAGGGTGGGAATGACTGTTAACGAGTTCACTTGTTCGAGTGTTCTGGGTGCTTGTACTATGTTGGAAATTTTGGAACTTGGGAAGCTACTCCACTGCCCAGTCGTTAAGTGTTGTATTCCTGCACAATTGTATTCCTGCACAAAGGAAGTGTCATCCCCTTTACCCTGCTCAATGAAAACAACTATGATATCCCTCTTCAGCAGAGACTTTATCCAATAATCATAATTAACCATCTCCCTTGTACTTTCTTACGCATACCAGCTATATATCCCTTAAATTCTCTCTATTTTCCATCCAGTTATATATAACAATATAAAAATAAACATATCCAAATTATACCAAATTATTCATTTACCTTAAATTTTAAAAAAATAATTTACATTTCATTATTTTAACTAATATTTCCATCCATTCTAAATATCAATTATTAAATGAATCTTACATTACATATATATATGTATATATATATATATATATGTACACGCACATAAACAAATAAATAAATATAAAATAAACAAACAAAACCACAAAATATATAAACACTACAAAAATTTCAACTATTCTATCACCTAAAATAAAATACTAAACACACACACACACACATATACATAAATACATACATACATACATACATATCACAAAATATATCATATACCTATAACTACATATTAATACAAAATTCACTCCAACTTTAAATAACATAAAATAACTCATATAAACATCAAACAATAAATATTAAAAAAATTCTACCACAAATTCCACTAATTAAACTCTAAATTTTCATATCCAATAATTTTTATTTCTTATATAAAAATTTATACACATCACCTTAACTTCAATAATATCCATTCATCAATAAACTATTAATATATCAACTCTCTCAGCTCTCAAAATCAATATTATCCTTTATTCATTCAAATTCTATTAATCAAATCAATTTTACTATATTTATTTATAAATAAATAAATCCAATATATCAATACTCTATCCACTCTTCCAACCCCATTATCATACAAAATACTATAAATCTATACTATTAAATAAATCTTTCATTACCCTAATATATTTAATAATGGACTCCCCGCGGAAGCCGCGGGGCACCAAGCCTAGTGATAATTTTAATTCAGTCATCAGCAATCATGTCTCAGGTACTCCCTTCTTCTTCTTCTTCTTCTTCTTCCCTCCGATTTCTTGTTTGGTAGCATTCATGATTAGTTTTGTAAATTCAGGTGGAATCAGGTTGCGAATGCTGGTCTGTTTGGATTGTAAGTTATTTGGGATTATTTGAGATATTTTTACTGTAACACTTTTTGTGATGTGATGTATGTGAGATAAAAAGATATTGGGAAGATAAAAAGGTGTATTGGAAATTGTAAATATAATGTAAGCAAATAAAATTGGAAAAATATGAAGCAATCCAAACAAACCATAATCTCATAGTTTAGCTAAAAGTTTCCCGTTAGTTGCCCTACCCGAAATTTCTCGAATTAGAACTGATTTGGGTGCCCTAAGATTTAATCGGGGTAATTTGCTTAGTTGAAATTAGGCTATTTTCCGTGTTCATGTAAGATAATGTGGTTACTCATCTGTTCTTGAATATTTATGTATGTAAAAGTGTCCCTTTTTTTTTTTTTTTTTTTTTTAAATGTAATACAACGCTTTATCACCGCTAGCATTTGGTTCTACCGAAGCATCGAGCAGGCAATTTGGAAGTAGCATGGGAATATAAGCAATGCTTTACTCGACTTGTAATTCTGACCTTAATATTTCTCATTTTCCATGTTTGCAGACTGTTGTCCTCAAGGTTGGCATGTCATGCCAAGGCTGTGTTGGAGCTGTGAATCGGGTGTTAAGCAAAATGGAAGGTTTGTCAACTTGCCTATTCTTCTACTATCCTTCATTTGATTGTTTGTCATTGACACCACTGACTTTGAAACTATCAATGAGGAAAATCTGTGCCCCCTGACCATGTTGATTATGCTCTTCGGATGTGCAATATAGCCTTTTGCTGTAATATCTTGTCAGAAGTGTGCAAAATCTGGTGGCCACCTAGAGAAATTGGTTAGCTGAGTTGGTGCTTGATTTTACAAATGATTTCTCAACTGTCAAATAAGCCTGTCCCAGAACTTTCATGTTCTTGTAAAGTAATAGAAGTGAAGGTTTGTTGATTGATTAGTCGTTCAGTGCTTATTTCAGACTGCATGGTAGCCGGCTTAATAATTCCTGACTTTGCACCAGGCCATAGTTTCAAGTGCTATTTTGATCAAAAGAAACTAGTGATATTTGCATTCAGCACTTGGCTGTTTCTTTGTTAATTGCCCAAAAAAAAAAGGATAGAAGTTTGCCAATATAGAGCTGAGAATTTAAATACCATTCATATAGCAAATGAGTCGACTATATCAGACTCGTATACCGCTGCAGACTCTGCAATATTCTATTATTTTTATCAACTGATCACATGTTGAACATTGTTCTATATATAATGTCAAGAAGAAAGTCTAGCCTAGATTGCATTTAGGGAGCCTTGTAGGAGAAGGAGAGATGAGACTCTTGAAAGCAATATCGGATGCTTGCACACACTTTTCGAGCTTTGGTTTCGGATCCACTTATAACCCCTATGCATTTGCCATCGAGGAGTTTGCCTTTACTAAATCGAGCACCACTTGTAAGTCATTTTTTAACTCAAGGTGTGGGGGAATGTCGGTTGGAACCCTTCTTCTTTTACCAACTGAGCTATCAAAAAATGTAGTAGTGAAGAAAGAATTGGTGCGGAAAATGGGATGGCCCCCTCTTCTCATCACATTAAAGACGTGCGGCTCTATATAAGGCTCGTACTTCAGAGCAAGTGAAGAAAAAATAAGAGTGCACGTTACCACTCTTGCAAGAAAAATGGCCTAGCTAAGGCGCCTCTTATTTATTAATAACTAAAGAAAAACTTTGATATAAGAAAGATGCGCTCAAGCACCCAACCTATATAAGGGGTGCTTGGGCTCGAAAGCCGGCCTAACTCAGCAAGCATCTTTCTTAGTAATATAGGTAGAGTTGGGGCCGTGCTTTCTGAGATCTGTCAGGCTCCGGCCTAGCACCGCCACAATGGCTTCAAGAGTCACCGGAAAGTTAACAGAATGAGAGGAAAGAGAGAAAGGTAGGTAGAGGGAGAGAGAGAGGGAAATAACAGAAAGAGGGAAGAATTGGAATTTGTTGATTTCAGACAATAAGATCCTAACTGCCTATTACAATCCTCCGGTGGGTTATTTATGCAATTAAGCTTTAACCGTCTTTATTCACTACTAATTGCCACTTAGTTGAACGACACCGTTTCTGGCATCTGTGCCCTGTGCCTACCAAACGCTACGTTTTGTGAACAAAACGACAATAGCTAACTTCTGAGTTCCTGACAATCCCTCCCCCTTAAGCAAAGCTTGTCCTCAAGCTTGGAATGCTGGAAACTGTTTGTCGATGAAGTCCTTGTCTTCCCAAGAGGCCTCGGATTCTGGTAGCTGATCCCACTTCATTAAGTACTGGATGACCACGATAGAGTTACGCCTGATAGCTCGTCTTCTCAAGACTGCCTCAGGTTGAAGTAAGCATTGGTCAGAGGAGTCCCAAGCAGGCAACATAGGGTCAGTGCCCTGAGCATCTCCAATCCTTTTCTTTAACAGTGAAACATGAAACACTGGATGAACCTTAGCTCCATCAGGTAACCGTAACCTATAGGCCACCGCCCCTACCTTGGCAATGATCTGGAAAGGTCCATAGTATTTTGCTGTGAGCTTCAAACTTTTTCGAAGAGCCACCGTTTGTTGTCTATAAGGTTGTAGTTTAAGAAACACCCAATCCCCCACTTGAAGTGTACGTTCCGATCTATGTCTGTCAGCAAAGAGTTTCATGCGGTTCTGTGCCTTTGCCAAATTCTCCTTGATGAGCGAAATGACCTGGAGCCTATCCTGCACCAGGTCAGTTGCAGCTGGGATAACACTGTCGTGGAAAGGCCCCAAGGGAATGTGGTTGGGCTTGTATCCATACAATGCCTCAAATGGAGTAATCTGTAAGCTGGTGTGGAAGTTGGTGTTGTACCAAAGCTCAGCTGTGGGTAGCCATCTACTCCATTGAGAGGGGTGTTCACTGCACATACACCTAAGATATGTTTCCAGGCATTGGTTCACGCGCTCACTCTGACCATCAGACTGGGGATGGTAGGATGAGCTATAATGCAGGCCAACTCCCAACAGATGGAACAACTCTTGCCAAAACCTGCTAACAAAAATTTTATCCCTATCTGAAATCACAGATTCTGGTAGTCCATGAAGCCTATAAATCTGGTCAAGGAAGACCTGGGCTATCTGTTGCGCAGTGAAAAGATGTGTGAGACGAATGAAGTGACTGAATTTTGTCAGTCGATCCACCACTACTAAGATAGTGTCACAACCATGAGATAGGGGCAGCTGCTCAATGAAATCCATGGATATGTGGGACCATGCCTGTTGTGGAACTGGGATAGGTTGCAAAAGTCCAGGATAGGGAACATTCTCATGCTTGTTCCTTTGGCATACATCACAAGACCTGACAAAAGTGACAACATCCTGCTTGAGCCCCGGCCAAAAAAATAAAGTTTGTATCCTGTGTAGACATCCCCTTTGGCCAGAATGCCCCCCTACTGCTGAGTCATGTAGAGCCTTGATCACCTTGCCACGAATACTATTAGCAGATCCCACATATAATCTATCTTTAAACTTGAGCATTCCCTTATCCAAGTGATAGTCTGATACTGCATTGGGGTCTAACAGGAGCTGAGCTATCTTCTACTGAGCTTCATTATCCCCCTCATAGCTTGCAACCAACTCCTGCATCCATGTTGGTTGGACTGAGGAAATTGCACACATGGTACAATTTACTGCTACGTCCCCCTGAGGGTGTTCAAACTTCCTCCTGGATAGCGCATCTGCCACCCCATTTCAGCTCCTTTTTTGTACTGGATTTCGTAGTCCAGGCCAAGTAATTTGGTGAGCCATTTATGTTGCAGGGGGTGCGTGAGCTTCTGCTCCAGCAAGTGTTTGAGAGCTTGGTGGTCAGTTTTGATGACAAAATGATGGCCCACCAAGTAGTGTTTCCATTTGGTCACGGCTAGCACCAGAGCAAATAGCTCCTTCTCATAAACAGATAACCCCAAGTTCTGGCTGGATAGAGCTTTGCTGAGGAAAGCTATAGGGTGTCCATGTTGCATTAGCACTGCTCCAATCCCTACCCCACAAGCATCAGTCTCTATGACAAAAGGAATTTCAAAATCTGGCATACTGAGTACTGGAGCTGTGGTCATAGCTCTTTTGAGGTCTTCAAAAGCCATCTGAGCATGATGGTTCCACCCAAAACTCTCCTTCTTCAGTAGCTGAGTTAAAGGCTTGCAAATCACACCATACCCCTTTATAAATCTTCTGTAATATCCAGTCAGCCCCAAGAATCCCCTTAATTCCTTAACTGAGTTAGGAGTGGGCCAAGACAGGATACATCCCACCTTATCTGGGTCCATGTTGACACCAACCTCAGAAATCACATGCCCCAAATACTCCATGGATGTCTGAGCAAAAGAGCATTTTGACTTTTTACAGTATAACTGGTTATCCGCTAAGATTTGGAGTACAATTTTTAGGTGCTGCGCATGTGACTCTAGAGTGGGACTGTAGACCAAGATGTCATCAAAAAATACCAATACAAATTTTCTCAGGAATGGCTGGAAAATCCTATTCATCAAAGCCTGAAATGTAGCTGGTGCGTTTGTTAGGCCAAAAGGCATTACTAGAAATTCAAAGTGCCCATGGTGTGTTTGGAAAGCAGTCTTGGGAATGTCTGCTACCTTGACCCTCAACTGATGGTACCCAGCCCTGAGGTCTAACTTAGACATAAATTTGGTGCCATGTAACTCATCTAGCAATTCATCAATATTGGGGATGGGAAATCTATCCTTGACAGTCACCTCATTGAGCTTCCTGTAGTCTATACATAATCTCCAAGTGCCATCTTTTTTTTTAACTAACAAGACAGGGGAAGCAAAAGGACTAGTACTGTGTTTAACAATTCCATTCGTAAGCATTTCTGCAACCTGCTTCTCAATTTCTGCTTTATGGGAGTGGGGATACCTGTAAGGCTTGAGTTTAAATGGTTCTGCCCCTGGTTTGAGAGGGATTTGGTGATCCAGCTCCCTTTCTGGAGGTAGTCCCGTTGGAGTAGCAAAGATCTGTGGAAACTGCTGTAAGACCTGTTCCACCAACTCTGGGATGTCCTTCTGAAGGTCTTTGGTGGAGTTCGTCTGCAGGTGTGCACAACTCTTCTTTCGTTCTTGGATGAAGGATCTGAGGTCCCTTCCCCTCACAAGCTCCATCGTAGGTTGATTTATGAACCCTTGGAGGTGGAGTAATTGCCCTCGATCACTGAGTGCTATGCTGAGAGTGTGGAAGTCAAAGGTGATTGGACTGAACTGACACATCCAGTCAACCCCCAGGATGATATCCCAACCTCCTAGTTCCATTATCTTCATGTCAAACTGAAATTTGTAGTCTTGTATCCTCCAGGCTACCTTAGGACAGGCTGTCCCACTGGTGATGTCTGTCCCATTGGCTAAAGTCACAATAAAAGGATTCACAGATTGATAAGGTAAATGCAGTAAGGTAACAATTCTATGGTTGATGAAACTGTCAGAACTCCCGGTGTCCACTAGTATTTTAATTGGTAAGCCACCTATACTGCCAATTAGCATGATGGACTTCCTCTGAATGGCACCAGACAAGGCATTCAGTGATACTTCAGCCGTCTCTCCAACTCTGCCAGTAAACTCATCCTGTTCCCCCACTGCATCCTCAAAATCATTCTCTTCTTCCTCTTCCTCTTCCACACTAACGCAGTTCAAACCTCTTGTCCTGCACTGGTGTCCCAACCCAAACTTCTCTCCACACCTGTAGCATAGGTTGTTTTTGCGCCTGTACTGCAGCTCTTCTGCTGAAAGTCTTCCTACCTCCTTGTGTGCAACTTCGGTCCTTCTAGAGTTAGGAGTTATCGCAGGAAGCCTGTAAGAATTAGGTAGATTCTGTCCACCAGGTTGCCCCTTGTACATCCCAAACTTAGGCTCCATGGCAATCTTGCCAGAATTTTTAGTCTGCTTACATTGCACCTCCAGTGCATACTCCTGCAACTCTGCTACTTCAAATGCTTTGGTCAATGTCTGTGGTCGAAACATCTTTACCATGGGCTTGATCTCCTCTTTTAACCCACTGATAAAGCTGGAAACAAAATAGGACTCATCTAATCTGGGGTTCTTGGTTAACATCAAAGTTTTTAATTCTTCAAATTTTTCCTCATACTCCTCCACTGTCCCCACTTGTTGCAGCTTGTTAAATTCTTCTACGATGTCGAGCGATCCCTTGCCAGAGAAACGCTCACATAGCAACTCGCTAAACTCTTCCCAATTTAGCCCAGGTATAGCTAATTTCACCCCTTGGAACCAATTATCGGCTTTGCCTTCTAAGAACATCTCCACTAAATCCACTTTCTGGCAAGCAGGTATGTGATAGTTCAAAAAATATTTATGACATTTCCTAAGCCATTCCCTTGGATTCCCTGCCATAAACATCGGCAAATCTAATCTAGGTAAATTGGGGGTGAACATCCTACCTCTGGACTCCTGCTGTTGGCCGGCCATTTCAGCCTGAGTCGCCAGTCGGACATGCGAGGGTGGTGTAGGTAGAAGAGGTTCGGAAGGTCCTCCTTCATTCTCCTGGCCTCCCTTGTCCTTCATCATCACTTTCATTAACGCGTTGAACTTTTGCTCCAACTTGCAGAACTTCTGGTCCAGATTTCCCACCACCGACTCCAGTCTCGAGTTGCTCTTCTCCATTTCCTCATTGAGTCTCTGTTGTAGCTCATTCTGCGCCGACGTGTGCAGAGCAACCATGGATTCGGCCAATTCCTGGAGCTTACTCTCCTGTTTCTTCAGCTGATCCTCCAAGGATCGGTATCTCGTGCCTTCCGCCATGGCAGGTCTTCTTCCTCAGCAGCCAAGGATCGGCTGCTCTGATACCAACTGTCAGGCTCCGGCCTAGCACCGCCACAATGGCTTCAAGAGTCACCGGAAAGTTAACAGAATGAGAGGAAAGAGAGAAAGGTAGGTAGAGGGAGAGAGAGAGGGAAATAACAGAAAGAGGGAAGAATTGGAATTTGTTGATTTCAGACAATAAGATCCTAACTGCCTATTACAATCCTCCGGTGGGTTATTTATGCAATTAAGCTTTAACCGTCTTTATTCACTACTAATTGCCACTTAGTTGAACGACACCGTTTCTGGCATCTGTGCCCTGTGCCTACCAAACGCTACGTTTTGTGAACAAAACGACAATAGCTAACTTCTGAGTTCCTGACAATCCCTCCCCCTTAAGCAAAGCTTGTCCTCAAGCTTGGAATGCTGGAAACTGTTTGTCGATGAAGTCCTTGTCTTCCCAAGAGGCCTCGGATTCTGGTAGCTGATCCCACTTCATTAAGTACTGGATGACCACGATAGAGTTACGCCTGATAGCTCGTCTTCTCAAGACTGCCTCAGGTTGAAGTAAGCATTGGTCAGAGGAGTCCCAAGCAGGCAACATAGGGTCAGTGCCCTGAGCATCTCCAATCCTTTTCTTTAACAGTGAAACATGAAACACTGGATGAACCTTAGCTCCATCAGGTAACCGTAACCTATAGGCCACCGCCCCTACCTTGGCAATGATCTGGAAAGGTCCATAGTATTTTGCTGTGAGCTTCAAACTTTTTCGAAGAGCCACCGTTTGTTGTCTATAAGGTTGTAGTTTAAGAAACACCCAATCCCCCACTTGAAGTGTACGTTCCGATCTATGTCTGTCAGCAAAGAGTTTCATGCGGTTCTGTGCCTTTGCCAAATTCTCCTTGATGAGCGAAATGACCTGGAGCCTATCCTGCACCAGGTCAGTTGCAGCTGGGATAACACTGTCGTGGAAAGGCCCCAAGGGAATGTGGTTGGGCTTGTATCCATACAATGCCTCAAATGGAGTAATCTGTAAGCTGGTGTGGAAGTTGGTGTTGTACCAAAGCTCAGCTGTGGGTAGCCATCTACTCCATTGAGAGGGGTGTTCACTGCACATACACCTAAGATATGTTTCCAGGCATTGGTTCACGCGCTCACTCTGACCATCAGACTGGGGATGGTAGGATGAGCTATAATGCAGGCCAACTCCCAACAGATGGAACAACTCTTGCCAAAACCTGCTAACAAAAATTTTATCCCTATCTGAAATCACAGATTCTGGTAGTCCATGAAGCCTATAAATCTGGTCAAGGAAGACCTGGGCTATCTGTTGCGCAGTGAAAAGATGTGTGAGACGAATGAAGTGACTGAATTTTGTCAGTCGATCCACCACTACTAAGATAGTGTCACAACCATGAGATAGGGGCAGCTGCTCAATGAAATCCATGGATATGTGGGACCATGCCTGTTGTGGAACTGGGATAGGTTGCAAAAGTCCAGGATAGGGAACATTCTCATGCTTGTTCCTTTGGCATACATCACAAGACCTGACAAAAGTGACAACATCCTGCTTGAGCCCCGGCCAAAAAAATAAAGTTTGTATCCTGTGTAGACATCCCCTTTGGCCAGAATGCCCCCCTACTGCTGAGTCATGTAGAGCCTTGATCACCTTGCCACGAATACTATTAGCAGATCCCACATATAATCTATCTTTAAACTTGAGCATTCCCTTATCCAAGTGATAGTCTGATACTGCATTGGGGTCTAACAGGAGCTGAGCTATCTTCTACTGAGCTTCATTATCCCCCTCATAGCTTGCAACCAACTCCTGCATCCATGTTGGTTGGACTGAGGAAATTGCACACATGGTACAATTTACTGCTACGTCCCCCTGAGGGTGTTCAAACTTCCTCCTGGATAGCGCATCTGCCACCCCATTTCAGCTCCTTTTTTGTACTGGATTTCGTAGTCCAGGCCAAGTAATTTGGTGAGCCATTTATGTTGCAGGGGGTGCGTGAGCTTCTGCTCCAGCAAGTGTTTGAGAGCTTGGTGGTCAGTTTTGATGACAAAATGATGGCCCACCAAGTAGTGTTTCCATTTGGTCACGGCTAGCACCAGAGCAAATAGCTCCTTCTCATAAACAGATAACCCCAAGTTCTGGCTGGATAGAGCTTTGCTGAGGAAAGCTATAGGGTGTCCATGTTGCATTAGCACTGCTCCAATCCCTACCCCACAAGCATCAGTCTCTATGACAAAAGGAATTTCAAAATCTGGCATACTGAGTACTGGAGCTGTGGTCATAGCTCTTTTGAGGTCTTCAAAAGCCATCTGAGCATGATGGTTCCACCCAAAACTCTCCTTCTTCAGTAGCTGAGTTAAAGGCTTGCAAATCACACCATACCCCTTTATAAATCTTCTGTAATATCCAGTCAGCCCCAAGAATCCCCTTAATTCCTTAACTGAGTTAGGAGTGGGCCAAGACAGGATACATCCCACCTTATCTGGGTCCATGTTGACACCAACCTCAGAAATCACATGCCCCAAATACTCCATGGATGTCTGAGCAAAAGAGCATTTTGACTTTTTACAGTATAACTGGTTATCCGCTAAGATTTGGAGTACAATTTTTAGGTGCTGCGCATGTGACTCTAGAGTGGGACTGTAGACCAAGATGTCATCAAAAAATACCAATACAAATTTTCTCAGGAATGGCTGGAAAATCCTATTCATCAAAGCCTGAAATGTAGCTGGTGCGTTTGTTAGGCCAAAAGGCATTACTAGAAATTCAAAGTGCCCATGGTGTGTTTGGAAAGCAGTCTTGGGAATGTCTGCTACCTTGACCCTCAACTGATGGTACCCAGCCCTGAGGTCTAACTTAGACATAAATTTGGTGCCATGTAACTCATCTAGCAATTCATCAATATTGGGGATGGGAAATCTATCCTTGACAGTCACCTCATTGAGCTTCCTGTAGTCTATACATAATCTCCAAGTGCCATCTTTTTTTTTAACTAACAAGACAGGGGAAGCAAAAGGACTAGTACTGTGTTTAACAATTCCATTCGTAAGCATTTCTGCAACCTGCTTCTCAATTTCTGCTTTATGGGAGTGGGGATACCTGTAAGGCTTGAGTTTAAATGGTTCTGCCCCTGGTTTGAGAGGGATTTGGTGATCCAGCTCCCTTTCTGGAGGTAGTCCCGTTGGAGTAGCAAAGATCTGTGGAAACTGCTGTAAGACCTGTTCCACCAACTCTGGGATGTCCTTCTGAAGGTCTTTGGTGGAGTTCGTCTGCAGGTGTGCACAACTCTTCTTTCGTTCTTGGATGAAGGATCTGAGGTCCCTTCCCCTCACAAGCTCCATCGTAGGTTGATTTATGAACCCTTGGAGGTGGAGTAATTGCCCTCGATCACTGAGTGCTATGCTGAGAGTGTGGAAGTCAAAGGTGATTGGACTGAACTGACACATCCAGTCAACCCCCAGGATGATATCCCAACCTCCTAGTTCCATTATCTTCATGTCAAACTGAAATTTGTAGTCTTGTATCCTCCAGGCTACCTTAGGACAGGCTGTCCCACTGGTGATGTCTGTCCCATTGGCTAAAGTCACAATAAAAGGATTCACAGATTGATAAGGTAAATGCAGTAAGGTAACAATTCTATGGTTGATGAAACTGTCAGAACTCCCGGTGTCCACTAGTATTTTAATTGGTAAGCCACCTATACTGCCAATTAGCATGATGGACTTCCTCTGAATGGCACCAGACAAGGCATTCAGTGATACTTCAGCCGTCTCTCCAACTCTGCCAGTAAACTCATCCTGTTCCCCCACTGCATCCTCAAAATCATTCTCTTCTTCCTCTTCCTCTTCCACACTAACGCAGTTCAAACCTCTTGTCCTGCACTGGTGTCCCAACCCAAACTTCTCTCCACACCTGTAGCATAGGTTGTTTTTGCGCCTGTACTGCAGCTCTTCTGCTGAAAGTCTTCCTACCTCCTTGTGTGCAACTTCGGTCCTTCTAGAGTTAGGAGTTATCGCAGGAAGCCTGTAAGAATTAGGTAGATTCTGTCCACCAGGTTGCCCCTTGTACATCCCAAACTTAGGCTCCATGGCAATCTTGCCAGAATTTTTAGTCTGCTTACATTGCACCTCCAGTGCATACTCCTGCAACTCTGCTACTTCAAATGCTTTGGTCAATGTCTGTGGTCGAAACATCTTTACCATGGGCTTGATCTCCTCTTTTAACCCACTGATAAAGCTGGAAACAAAATAGGACTCATCTAATCTGGGGTTCTTGGTTAACATCAAAGTTTTTAATTCTTCAAATTTTTCCTCATACTCCTCCACTGTCCCCACTTGTTGCAGCTTGTTAAATTCTTCTACGATGTCGAGCGATCCCTTGCCAGAGAAACGCTCACATAGCAACTCGCTAAACTCTTCCCAATTTAGCCCAGGTATAGCTAATTTCACCCCTTGGAACCAATTATCGGCTTTGCCTTCTAAGAACATCTCCACTAAATCCACTTTCTGGCAAGCAGGTATGTGATAGTTCAAAAAATATTTATGACATTTCCTAAGCCATTCCCTTGGATTCCCTGCCATAAACATCGGCAAATCTAATCTAGGTAAATTGGGGGTGAACATCCTACCTCTGGACTCCTGCTGTTGGCCGGCCATTTCAGCCTGAGTCGCCAGTCGGACATGCGAGGGTGGTGTAGGTAGAAGAGGTTCGGAAGGTCCTCCTTCATTCTCCTGGCCTCCCTTGTCCTTCATCATCACTTTCATTAACGCGTTGAACTTTTGCTCCAACTTGCAGAACTTCTGGTCCAGATTTCCCACCACCGACTCCAGTCTCGAGTTGCTCTTCTCCATTTCCTCATTGAGTCTCTGTTGTAGCTCATTCTGCGCCGACGTGTGCAGAGCAACCATGGATTCGGCCAATTCCTGGAGCTTACTCTCCTGTTTCTTCAGCTGATCCTCCAAGGATCGGTATCTCGTGCCTT